ATCGAATGTACTTTGCTGATTGTGAGTAATTTCCTAAACTCTTATAAAACTATTATTGAAATAATGGATATGTGTATGTATATTGCAAAAATGTAGTGTTACACAATACTGCAGGAAATTCATGTTTCAATTACTTGCCATTTAAATGATGGTACGATAGTCACATTATGAAATGATTACTATCTACGCTTTGTGTATTCGCAACTTCAATGCACAGTCGCCTATACGCAGACCAGGCATTAAAGTTTCCCGATATGTTTGATATGACCAGCTGCGATTGTAGGTAGGTACTACGTAAATACAATTTTTTTTTTATTATCAATTTTGATTACAATTGATTCATTAAATGAATCGAAAATATTTTCAATTTTGAAAATACTATCGATAATAACGCATTAAAAAATTTTCTTTATTACCTGGAATAGTTAACGTTGTATTACTCATTGATAAGTTGAGATTTTTAGATTCTACAAAACTTAAACAACTAAACATGAAATTTCCAGGAAATTTCACTGTCGCGATGTAACGATGTGATAGACTTGACCAGTAAGGCGTAATATGAAGAGTTGTAAACCCTATTCAAGTCTAATAATACGATCCTACTTACGACAGTTCGACTGAAACAAAACGATGTTTAAATTCCGCCTGGTGAAATTTATCAGCAGTGTAATGTATTCGTTAACCAGTATTTGTCGCCAGGGCAATAATTTCAAAACTAAAGAAAAATGTTGAATATGATTGTAAGAGATGAGATAAGTTAAAACAACAAGTCCAAGTAGAAATTTGGAATGATTCATCGTGAAATTTAGTAATAAAATATTATTTTTAAACCGTAGTTTACATAACATCAGATGTTTGAATCACTTTGAACTGCAGAATCGCTTAACAGATGCGGTTTGAACGATCGGTCACCAAACAAATTTTTCAGTACTTCAAAGACCTTTTATCTTTCTTAGTTCTTTATGTAACTATTCTGAAGCAAACACTGACGCCATGACGAATGTTTCTTTTGTCGGGAGAGGAAGTCTTGAACGGTCTACTTATATAATTTTTAAGAAAGAATAATCAAAGGGCTACTAAATGGTCACAATGGAACTGTTTAGTATCGGCGAATGATCGCATTCGCAAACGTACATAGAAAGTTTCCGGTTTTAATGCAACAAAAGAATGAAAAAAGCGTGGCTGACGTTGAAAATGAAACCGCGTCGTGCATGATTTTTCAGGACGCTCGGCGTCACGCTCAAAACATATGAAAGTTCGATTAATCAGGGAAACAGAATGAAATAACACGCTTCAAATAAATTGACTTCACATCTTCTGAAATAAAAATTAATCAAAATTCGAATGATACTTTATGAAATTTTTAATTACATTAGGTATAATTAAATATTAAAAAAATGTCAGTTGTCTGTATTCAGTTGTTCAGTTTATTCTAAAACATTAATCTTAAACTAATTCCCATAGAGTTTTCCTATTTTTGTAGCAGAACAATTTCCTCGGCCTCTTCTTGAGAAGCTAGTTCTCGATGACGATGCATTTGTGTCTATTTGATACGAAGAGCATACGAACAACGGAGTTGTACGGTAAATATAAATTACCAGTACTGTCATTTACGTCCACTAAATACACCCCATTTCTCCTAGAGATTTCCGATCACAACAGTATTTTTGAACATAATTAAACGTTAAGTTACAGTCTCATCTTGCAGCGCATGTTACCTTCGCTGTCGTTACAAAATCCCCATACAGAAGACACAACAAATTTTTATTACTACATTATTAAATCATTTTATTTCACACTTTCACAAATAGAACTTAATTATTAGCAAAGAACAACATCTTTTGGAAGGTAAACCTTTAAAACACGCATAACAACATTTACGAAATCGACGTTTTAAAATTGTTCATTCAATTTATAAAATGTTTGAAGTATTCTGTTGTTGAAACATGATTGAAATTCATTATCTTTAATCTACATATGAGGAATTACTGAAATGCACGATGTAAAATACAATAAGGTTACTTTTCCCGTCAAGCTGCCTGAATTCTTCAATTTTTAGTAACCAGTTTTAATCGATCAAGCAGATAAACAAGCACCGTGTGAGAGCATGCCTTGTACAATTAAACTTGTCCACAAACTTTCACGGAACTGCGTCGCACGGATATCCGCGCTCTTTATAAAAGCGCCTCGAACAACGCTCGCAATTCGAAGCGATTCAAATCTAATAATATTTTACCATGGATAAAATTTATTGTTTCCGCTGAACAAAGAAAAAATATCTCGAATCCCATGCTCTCTGGTGATATAGAAAATGTTTCTGACCACTGCAACTCATTGGGATAATTTTATCTGTATTTTTAAGCTTAGGAACTTGACATTAACGCGAAAAGAAAGACGCAACTTGTTTTTGCGAACATAATTCGAAAATCCGTATTATTATAAGTTAATGGATTCAATACCATATGTCTGTTTTAATTGTATGGCGCTCATGACTTTTTCGTATTGTAAACTTATTATGGAAAAACAATCTCGATTCTAATTTTATATTATACTTTGCAGGAATGACATTACGAATTTATAGCTATATTCTTGAAAACTGTTTTTATGATATGAGCGCCATACCTATACCTGTGACCCTCCGCAGTCATTATTATTTCCATCCCGAGTAAAACTTTGCAATGTTACCACACCAAGTGGCAATAAACATTTGGAAATACACGGGAAAAAAAACAAATTTTACACAAATTAAAAATCACACTATAATCTGTAAAGCAACAACAATACGATTTACATTTCGTAATGCCGACTCTACCCTAAGAGTGTTTCCTAGTGCTAGGTATTTATATTTTCCTATTGCTCTTTGTTCCTTGCATTTTATAATTATTACCGGCAATTATTCAGGATATTTTGCACCAACAACTTCGATAGTTGTTTTTGCTGACAGATGACCAGTTTCAAACTGTATGCACGACAACGAATCTTCGTGACACTTTAACGGCAAAAACGTTCTCGCACAAGCAAAATGAATAAAGATGTTTAAAGGAAAAACTTTGCCAAAAGAACATTTTAATGAACAGTTCGGTTAATTATTGAGGTACATATTCATCTTCGCTATGTCGCAATACCATTGTTTGAACGATCGCTATCGATGCTTAAACAACTCTATATTCCAGAGTCACCGACCGTGTCGAATCGTTTTTAAACTGTAAATTCAACCGCATGCTCGCTTCAAGGGAAACTGTCAGACGATTGGGGGAGTTCGAAAGTTTCATTACATATTCGTTTTAGAATGAAATTCAGGAGCGATTTCTTCGGCAAACCTAAATGAAACGTTCTGCGTTCAGATTTCTGATAGCAATATAGGGAGCGAGGTATAATTCGATGTAAAGGAGGAAACTACGTTAGTCTTATCATAATTACATAAACAACCTCTACGTAAGTAGCTTTTACATCAGTAACTAGAAATTGCAGGATTAAGTACTGTATATTCTGACAGAACGTCAGAATTTTAATCATTTTCACGTGCAAAAGTAAATGGGACATTATTATTGGAAGGCAATCTGATCAATTCCTATTACCCATTTTTGTTTAATTACTCAATTGTAGTTTTCTTTGACAGATTTACTTACGTATTTTACATTTTATAATAGTGCACATAAAGATAAATTTTGAAGAACTATGCTTACAGCATAGATTACGGTTCTTTATGCAAATATAAACTTTATACATTATTTTATAGGAACTAGAATCAAATACAAATTTGTTTAATCTACCCACGATTGTAATAAATTTCTGATAACACGAAAATCCCATTAAAGATTATTAAACTTTTTAATATAGATAGTGAATTTTATACAATTGTGTATGCTATAAATGCATAAAATCGATAGTCTATTTATAATATTAATTTTCGTCATGTTTTACTTCGTTCTTTTGGATAGTTTGCCTTTCGGAAATGCCATGAAAATGTTCCCAGGCATTTTGAGTAACGATTTTGTAAATAAAAAATTGATTAATTGTATTAAAGAGGTATTGTGATCTAGAGTGGCAGTTTTCAAGATTTTTTGAGATTCTTGTGCAAAGAAACCATAAGACTTTTTAGTATCGGCTTTTCTGCACGCATATTTATTTATATTTTAAAACTTTCATTATATTTGTCAAACGCAAATTAAAATCGACTGAATTAAGAATCGTTGAATACAGTCCCTTAACAAAATTGTTCTATTAGTTGACACGATTCCGGCCATTCTGCTTGTACGAAACGAAAAGACAAATAAGATTCTTGATCAGTATGAGCGTAGCTGTGGTGTGAAACGGAATGAAAGAAATATCGAGAATTTAAAAAGTGGCGGCAGTTTGATGTTTGAGTATCGATTACCTCGATTTTTTTGTCGAGTTTCGTGAATTAAAAAGGATAATCTTTTTGTGATAATTCTGGTTCACACGAAAATGGCATATCTGCCGAATGTAGATGTACACCAAAAATGAAGCCAGTCAGCTAATCAGAACTTGAGAAATGATGTCAGCTATTTCAAATAATACGTCGGACAAAAATTCTTCTGCAGACATACTTTTAGAAAGTGCAACGAAAGAAAATCGATTTTTTGAAAGATCCAGACTTGAATAGTCCCATAATGCCATAAAATGGGCAGCAAATATAATGTACCTATAGATTACACAACTGTTAAACCTAATTTTTATAAATGTCCAAGCAAGTTCGGTGTATCATTTGAATCTAACTTGCAAGTTTGGAATTATTTCACGAAACAAGGATTCTGCGTTTGATATAGTACGCACAAAAACTTAAAAAACCGATCGTGGACGAAGGTATATAAGACTACCATCAGACCCGATAAAAGTTTCCAGGGAACTTCTTTCTTTTACTCAGAAACGAAAAGAAAAAAAAAACATTCCTTTGCCTGATTAGGACCACGAGAACACAGATTTCTCGTAGTCCGCGCTAACGGGAGTTTCTCGTTCGAAGAGATCTGAATGCTTACCGGCGGTGGTTCGGCGGAGGAGTAAACCTCGCTGGGCGCGTAATTGCTATGAGGCTGCGGCATCTTCTCTGAGACGACGGCGACGGTGGCCAAGGAATCCGGCTGTTCCTTTTCCATCTTCCCTGAACTCCCTAATTCTCAGCAGTGGAAGATCGTATCAGCTGGTCTTCTGTTCTCGTTTGTTCGTATGTACGATGGCTCCTCCGTGATGAAAAATCCTGTATCGATCGACGGGAACACTCGATGTCGATCGCTTGGCGAATCGACGAACAGTGAGCGGCCGGCACCATCTGACACCGCAAGCCATAGTGTTACCCCCACCGCCTATCAAAGCTGCAACACCGCACGCCGTCGACTGGCCCCTTCCGTTTGTATTCGTGGGCGAGACCGAAATGTGGTGTGTGTCTGTGTGTGTGTGTTATATATATAGGGTGGTCCACGCAACTTGCACACCTTAAATAACTTCTAAAGTATGCATTGTACGAAAACATATTTTTTATACAAAAGTTTCATGGTTTGGGGGATAGACATTAGTGCATGTAATTTTTCTGCAGGTGGAGGCGTTTCGGTGATTTTCAACTTCGCTATTTTAAATGGAATCTTATATTTTTTATGCCAAAATATCGATTTTAATTATTTTCGTTTAATAATTTAAGCGAAACATTTATTAGCTCTAAACCTAATAATTCACGAATAATTTCATTTCCTTTCTTGAAACTGTACTGTGCGTAAAATCAAGTTGGAGATTCAATATTAGCAAAGACTTCCGTGAGACCGCAGTGTTTACGTGACAATGTTTATTAACACTACAGATGTTGCATGATCGCCATCGCCTATTCTGTGTATGTTTCAGTATTAAACTTATCGTTGGTGTTTGTCCATGATTACCTCAGTAAAATACAGGGTGTCTCAGCTAACTTGATCACATCGAATAATGACTTAACGGTGCACTTTATAAAGATTTTGTGGCGTCAAACTTAAATGACATCAAAGGGCACGTTTTATAAGGTACGTGCTTTTTTATGAGTGGAAGCATTTCAGAGATTTCAAGGTCACTTTGATTTTATTTAACGGAATCACCTATTTTTTTTGCATCATAGATCGATAGAGTATCAAATACTGAATAAAAATGTGTTGACCTTCATACGTCCTAATCTAATAGTTAACGGGATATTTACAAAATAGTCACTGTATTGAAATCGCTGTATTAAAGTTGAGGGGCATCAGTTCGAGTACCTATGACCTATAGCTTTCAGATAGTAACTACGTATTAAAAATTACTTTGTACGTATCTCGTTAACTATTAGGTTTAGGACGTACAAATGTTAACCCATTTTTACTCAGAATTTGATACTCTATCGATATATGGTATAAAAATAGGTCATTCCGTTAAAAAAAATCAAGGTGACCTTGAAATCTCAGAAATGTCACCACCCACGAAAAAAGTACATACCTTATAAGATGTTCCCCTTGACGCCACTTAAGTTCCGCGCCTCAAAATGTTTATAAAGTGTACCGTTATGTCATTATTCGAAGTGATCAAATTAGCTGAGACACCCTGTATACACGTTAGGATGATGTATTTTACCATGCATGGTATGTAATAATAATAAAAATAGAAACAACTGTAATAAAATTTAAAATAAATAAATATAGTAAATAGAAATGGATTTTTATTAAGTTTGTTTTCATTTCGATAACGCTTTCTTTGATTTTTATGTTATAATTGATCGGCATCGATAAACATCTTAAATTTGCCCAAATAGCGTTTTTGACCTAATTGAGTCTCAATAAATACGTCTTAATTACGTGTTTTAAAGGCTTGCTTCAGTCTTAACCAAGACCTGCATAAGACGTTCTTAAGACGCCTTGATGTGACACATAAAGCGTTCAGAAGATGTGCATTGCTATTATCATTTTTTCATGAAAGTTTATACAAACAAAATCCAGAATAGAAATGCAAATGTCATTATAGTATTTCGTCTTGGATTTGCTCGTGGACTCGTTAGTTCTGTCTAATTCGCGATACAACGTCCGTCTTGAATTTCTGCTATTATGTAAATATGTAAATTATGGATACAAATTTCGTAAGCGTTTCGTCTCAAACCACCGAAGAATAGTTAACGTGGAATATTGATGTTTCTTAACCATTTTTATCTTAAAAAATTGCTCCTGATTTATTCTCTCGGAATTTAACATTGCTCCCATCGCAACTATTATATTTAATGAGATATTCGCAAATAAAAAAGCACAAATTTGTTGTCTGCAAAATAGATAGTAAATGGCCTTTATACAAAAATATAATGGTACCAAAAAATTGCTCCTGATCTGTTATATAATATTCAATGGTTAGATATCTTAATAACAACTCATTAACAAGGAGCAATTGAAATACTGTTGTTGCATATAGGTTAGATATGACGTCATACATACATGCCTACATAGTATTCGTAACAGTTTTTATCTTAAAAAATTGGGCTGTACTTCCGAAAACCCCCATGCTCCGAATTGGATAAAATTTTTAAAATGGGTTATCTTTTGATAAAAATGATGATTGCGGGAAGGATTTTTGGCGATGCGAAAAATTTTTTTTTATCATTTTAGTGCACTCTCTATGTTACCGACACAGTCGTAATCGTGGAAATACAGACATATGTATAAGAATAGACCTTCCATCTTATGGGAGTTGGTGACCCACCTAAACTGTAGTACCGACACTTTAAGAAGCCTATGATTTTAGCGACCTCTACGTTTTGAGAACGGTGAATCTACGGTGAGTAGTGACACTAAATAATGATTTTAGAGACCCCTACATTTTGAGAACGGTGAATCTGCGGTGGGTAGTGACACCACCGACTAGGTATACAGTGGGCTGCAATACCAATACATTGGATGAAATATACCGGAAAATAGTTGGCGCCGATTATTAGTGTTTCTTAACCATTTATATCTTACAAAATTGCTCGCAATTTGCGCCCTCGGCATCTAAAATGATATCATGCTCCCATCGCTACGATCATATTCAATGAGATATTGCAATATTCCTGGAATTCTGGTCCTCTACACCCCCGACTAGTGCGGGAAACGAATGCGTAGGTACTGTACTACACAGTTCATCGGGATCATTAATAATGGGTCACCCACATCACGGGAGTTTCCAGACCTGCATGTACGACCGTGGTCAATACTCACTCCATTCGATACGAGTACCTTTGTTCGATACCTACTTGGTATTGCAACCGCAGGTATCGATACCAAAAGTACTCGGTATCGAAACAAAAGTATCGAGTAATGTACTCGTATTTACTTGTATCAATTTATCCCTAGTCGTAGGAGAATGTTTCCCCAACAGCCCCATTAGAAAGAGAGGAAAGTTATTTTAGTTATTGTCGTCTCTTTCTAGTGCGGACTTCATCCCTACTATAAGCCCGCGCAGTCTATTATATGTGTTTATGATGTTTATATATTGTCAACATACATTACTGTCAATGATAATACTAATTCTGAAATTGGACGATAGATGGCTACAATCATTAGCTACTTTCTCACAAGTATGTTTAGAGCTATTCTTTGCTATATAAGACAGATTTCAAATTAATGTAGGGTAGGAAATGAAGAAAATTAAAACAAGAAGAACCATGATTGGTATTTATTATTAATAATAAACGGACGTAATTCTGATCCTATTTTTGATCCCAAATAAATTGACGGTACCATTCACGTCATATGATAAAAATTATTGAAATTTTTTTAAATCTCCTGGTAGTATTCAAGGAGTAGAATCTGAAAATGCTAGTTTTAAGTTTAGGAATCCACTTGTTCAAGAGTTATGCATATGTACACTAAATGGCAAATAAGTCCATACTGTTTCGCACAGCTGGAATGAATACCAGAGGTTCTCTCACGGGCGATAGAATTTGTCATACACCGGGTGACATAATGAAGTATTTCTCAAGACATGAATACTTATGAATGGGCACGTTTATACTTCCCAGTCACTCGATGTATGATGCTACACGAGGCATAATGATGCTCAACTGTTTAAGACGTTGGTAACTAAGGTAACCGAGAGGAATATGCGCAAACAAGACTGAAATTCGTCATTTCGTAGTTATGATCTTATTTGGCGTTTAGTGTAAAACCAAGCATTTTTAGCGTACTTTACAGGTTATTTTAACACCATATTGATTTCTATACAAAATTCGTCCAATCAGTGGTGTCACTGCTTGTAAGGAGATGCACGTAATGGCGGCCATTTTGGCGGGATAATTCAAATGTGTTTATTCAAAGCGAAATTCTGATTCTTTGTTAGTTAGAGCCTGTGTACGAAAAAAGAAACCATTTGTTCAAAGTGGTTTTTCCCCGTAAACAGGCTCTAACCAACTCGGACGCAGTATTTCGCTTTGAATAAGTGATTCTTTTTTGCAAGCACATTTGAATTATCCCGCTAGAATGGTCGCCACCGCGTGCATCCCTTTACGCTTGCTTAGTGATACCATTGATTGGACGAATTCTGTATAGAAGTTAATATGGCGTTAAATTAACCTGTAAAGTACGCTAAAAATGCTTGGTTTTACATACGCATAACTTTTGACTCGGTGGATTCCTAAACTTAAAACTTGCATTTTTAGATTCCAATCATTGAATACTACCAGAAGATATAAAAAAAAGTCAATAACTTTCGGTCCGGTAAAGTAAAGTTTAGCCAAAATTAGAACAAGTTAATTCCTGTTAATAAATAAAAGGTTAAATTACCTATAAGGAATTATAATGAAAATATAGGTCTGGGGGTTATGATCTATGTGTAGATTGTGTTTATTTCTATTTTCAAAGCAAAATACTGATTCTGTGTTGGTTAGAGGCAGTTTAAGAAAAAAAATGTTTTTCAAATTTCTTGAGTTTTTCACACAAAACCACTAGTGTCGTTACACTTTTTTACTGATTCTCTAAAGAACGACATTTTGCTCATGGGGTTCTATCACCTTGCACAGAATGACATTGGCCGGGATTCATGGTCACTACTTATTCTTAAGCAAATGCTTACGAATAAGTACATAGTGACTATAAATCCCGGCCGTTGAGCTACACTTACTAAACGAAACCATCCGAAATTTAAGTCTTAAGAATATTCGTAAGACTTAAGAAACGAACATTCCTATAACATGTGAAATTTAAATTTTGAGAACATCTGTAGGTCTTTCGGGACGGACGTTTCTAAAACATCCGAAATTTACATCTTACGAACATCCTAAAGATGTCCAAAATGGACGCAGGACATTAGGATATAAACTGGATATGAAACGGACGTCTTTTGGATGTACGGTGCTATCTTGGTTATTACTCCCTGTAGTAATGAAGAATCTATTTATTTCATTAATATTGTAATATACAACGGTTTGAAACATCCGAGGACGTTCGACAATAGTCATCCACCTTTTAATTGTAGAAAATTAATATTAATATTAATCAATTATGGTATCAATTGTGAGTTGTGCATAATTTATTTATCTAATGATACACTGTTACATTTGTAAGAGTCATCCTCATTTTTAGCAATTTGCATTTCCCTCAACACACAATTTCACTTAATCTGTGTTTAATCTAAAGATGTTGTTCGAAATAAATGTTTTATTCTGTTTAAAATGACTTTTAATTTCAATAGTTAATCACATTACAACGCTCGAACAAGTTATAAACAATCGTTAACACACAATAGACTCAGCGATACTTCACACATAATCTTAAAATGTAATTTGAGAGCTACGTCATGACGAATAAAATCTAACTGATCAAATACCAACACGAGAGTAATAACTAAGCAATAATGGTAACAATAGAATACGCTTACGTCGTCATATACGACATTAGGTCGCGTAAGCTGCAAGTAAACACTATGAAAACTCATCCACGAATAATTAACAACAGTGAGATTCTCCAATCTCGCGCTTATTGTGCCGACACGCAGTACATTAGCTGTTATACATATATCGATTACAAATCAATTTACACCAAATTGATTACCTTTTGGACGCGGTGATAGGGATTTTTTATGAAACCGAAATGTTGCGTAGTCCTTCTGAAATTAGGGGGAGGGGGGTCAAGATATTTTGTATTATGCTAGTTTTGAAATTTGTTTAAGGAATATAAATCTAGGTAAAATTTTTAGCGCATTTTTCCGAATTTTCCGCAGCTTTGCCCCGATCTGCCAGCACTTTATCCCCCATCTAGTTGTCTGCCAATGGTTATATACACGCTCTTTGTACCATCGTATACTAAATATATATCTAATACCAGTATTTTCTGGATTGCTGAAATGGCGTATTTGCGCTAAAAATTTTATCTGTTTGGCAGCCCGCCATTAGTTCCTTGGATCGACGCGGCAGACCTGCGATTTCGTGTTCGGCAATATTAATCCAACCTTTTCGGGTAAGTATTGTGACTGCATTGAGTCACGTTGACATCTATGTAGCCAATTCTCTGTCTAAAATGTGCAGATGTTGATGAAATAAAAATTTTATTAAAATTAACGAGGTTACTTAATTTTTAGTTAATAATTAATAAATCAATATAAAATATATTAATTTTCTTTGATAAACTATTTCTATAAAAATGTGAACTTGCAAAAACATACGCCTCCTAATAGATATGCATAAAAAGCGTGCTTAATTCACAGATCATTTATTATGTCTAAGGAATATATAGAACGTACAGTTAATACGTCTATAAAACCGTATTAGAAGATTTTTAAGATTGGCGATGTTGAAGTTTTATTCGAAGCCTTGGAATAAAAGATGAAGTTAAAAATGAAGAATCCCTGTTGCTTCACTTATAATGCAGTATCTGTGTTCTATCTGATTGCAAGATGTAAATATATTATAAATAAAATCAGTTTAAAAATTAATTAAACTTTAATATCATTTTTTAAGAGATCGGTTGAATTCCGATCTATGGTTCGGTTCAGACTTTTTATCCTCATGATGAGTAGAATATAATGCAGTGAAAAAATTTTGGTAATTATACAGAATAAGGGAGCCACCTCCGATTGAAATGATCTTGAAATACGTTGTCAATCTCCACCAAACCGAAGGTGTAGAAACCGGCTATAGTAGTTGCAACATGTAATTGCTTGACAGTCCGTACATACATGAACAATTATGTATTCATTCCAGGAATAATGAGTAAGTTTCGTATTGCTTTCCATTTTACTATTTTCCAGACCTTTTACGTTCGGATCTAAGAAATTAAAAATTGATCAAGTCATTCGTTTTTATTTAACTAAATGAGACCAGTAAGAAATATAATTCACAACAGCCGTGTAGCGATGCGTTCGAATAAAACCTTCTGATTTTTTCAACATGATACATATGAAAGTATACAAACGCTATTATATATACACTACGTGGCATAACTATAGGACCACTAAAAAATTTTCAATCCTTATGTATTGTGGTTAAAATAAAAATGAACCACTTTTTTCTAGAGAATATACATAATCTATTATTTACTGGACAAACATTATTTCTCAGCATGATTTCAGACATGGCGTACTTGGTACGTCTTTATTTTAACCACAGTAAATAAGAATTGAAAATTTTAGAGTGGTACAGTGATACCTCGATGAATGCAACACAAACAACAGCGTTATACCTACCATTGGGGGGCTCCCCTTCTGGAACCAATGAAAACAGAGTAAACAAAAACAAGGCAGTGGCTCGGCTTCGTGCAAAAAAAATTTATGTGAGGCTGAAAACCTTTTCGCCTTACCATGAATGATTCGATGCGGACCCGAGTTCGTCGCACTCATCGAGACATTACTGTATATAGTAATAACACGCAGTGTATGTACCTATACCAATTACCTGACTATAAAATACAATTTTTCAGGACACTCTGAACTGTAGCTCATCGGGTAAGGGGAATTCTGAAGAAATGAAATAGGAAAATCCTGTAACGTTTGTCATAACGTCTTAAAATACAGCAGTTCTGCAAAATAAAAATCTTCGTTGTTGAACGTCGTGCATTTACACGGACCAGCCATGGTTTCACGCTAATAACTGATAATTTAAATGCTATATACTCTGAACAGCAATCGTGAACACAACGAACATAGCGAATATACCGCAATAACGTATAACAGGCTACATACTAAATAGTGACAACGAAAAATTAAAAATTCCAGATCGGTTACACGCCATTTCCGCTAGTGACGGAAACTCAAAATGGCGTCACGGCACGATTGGAATTTTTGAATCTTAATCATTACACAGCATTACAAATACTTTAAACGTTTCCCACCGACTTCATTCTAGGGTGTCCCCAAGCTCAGAATTCACACAACATGAAGGCCAGAAACATATGAAATTAATTAAGTTTTCAAAATCATTGTGTCATTTAGTATTTCAAATGAAACATGTTTCAGATTATAATTTTTCTAATTCTATAAAATTTCATACACTACTTTTGGTTCTTTGTAAAACTGATTCACTTTAAAATGAGTCATGCAAAAATACTGCTTTGTGTTACGTACTGGAAATCTAAGCGAATATTCTTCTTTGGTTTCATTATAAAATATTGAAATTGCGTTAACAAAATCGTAACGATAGAATGAATTCATATAACGCTGTTGCTAAAATTATTACTTCTACACAATATAAAACTGGTTACAACGTTTTTCTAAGGCTAACACGCATGCATCTTACAATAAATAAATATCTCGATAAAATTTGTAAAAGTTAAAATACGCTTTGAAGGTAAAACTAATATAAAAACAATGATTTAAAATTCCACGCAAAATCGTTAATAATAATTAAAAGATTCTTCCTCCCAAATAAACATCTTTTTCAAAAGAAGAACATCGTATCTGCAATCTCCTAATGTTTCGAGAAATGGCATACAGTGTATAATTAAATATTTTAGCCTCCTGCAGCTTTTGTTACCGTAAAATGTCAATTCTTTGTGGAACATAAAAGACGAGGACCAGCAAGTATGAGACATTTCATCGGTAACATATAAAAAGAACTGAACACTTTCAAAAATTTATTAGTCAATATCGATGTTTCCTATGAGAACGTTTGGATGTGTTTGCTGATGGTTGTTTGTAAATAAATTTTTCAAAATGTTTCAATTCTTTTTCCTACTGCCCTGTATGACTCTTCGGTGGGAGACTTCGTCTATTTCTCCTATTTTTTTTCGTTTTGGCTTCTTCTTAAGATTATTCAGTCAAAGACACAGGCAAGAACTCGCACGAGACAATTGCCAATTCTCGCACACGTTCTTTGTCCTTGGGTCACGCACTCCTTCCTCCTGTTCTTCCGATTATCCTGCCGTTCCTTTTTTCCAGGCTGCGACATCATGCAGCTTTGATTCTCGTAAGTACTGATACCGATTCTAGGTGTACTGGACAACCTGGATAATGGACCAGCAACGGAACTTCGAAGCTGTGAACACAAGCGTTAGTTAAAAGATTTTCATCCCTTCACTATATCTATAGGGATTCTATATATTCACTATATGTATCTAAACTAATAGGGAGACAAATTCGTTCTGATAAGCGATTGTTTAAATAATTGATCCAGGACAACCAAACTTGCAAATACAGTGGACTTTAACTATATTGCCACTGGACATATTGCCACGTAAGGCACTTCTCCTTCACACGTACTTTCGAGCACACAAATTCGCTCTCCCACCACGTTGTGTACGCCGGCGCATCAGCACGATCCAGCTTTTGCGCAGGCGCTGAGACTGAGGCTATAACGATAGAACTTAGCATGAAGGGGGCTCTGAACTCATCGCCATTTTATTCCCCTACAGGCCCGATCATGGCAATATACTTAGAGTCCACTATATAGTAATCCCGCGTTGAACGCAACAAACTCGGGTCCGCTTTGCTGTATTCACGACGACGTGGAAACGTTTTCAGCACCTTACAATGTAATTTTTAGCTCGAAACTCGAGCCTCGATAGCTTGCCTTTGTAGACTTCCGAACGTAGAAAAGGACAAGCGATTGAAAAACAGAGAGAAAGCTTCTGGTTCCACTCGACTCGACTGCGTGGACCGCTTGTGATGCTCTCACCGGCCAATGACTACATTGTGGCCGCTTGCGTCTCGCGTTATTTTGCTCGGTTCGGTATGTCTTGTATGCTCTTTGTCGTACCGTTTCGGCCAATCGAGGTGATTCTTTTAATGTGATTTGTCGACATCTCTCTGGGTCCTAATCCTAGCCTCGTACCCTTGTCGCATCACTCGCATCCCCCGTGTCACATCGACTTGCAACAGTCGATCGCGGTGAGCCAGAATACGGAATACGGACAGCGAATGCAAAAAAAAGAGAGGTTAGAGTCGAGGTAGCCGAGCATTGGTCTCACCGACACGCAGACCTCTCTTTCTTTTTCATTCGCTGTTCTTCTTTATATGGTATTATATGCCCCCATGCCCGTTTGATACCACGCAACTTTTATTTCAAACATTTTTTCATACAATAAACAGTTTACAAACAATTTAAATGACAGTGTTAGATGAATTATCCTGTATATACATTAATATACAAGTACTGTAGATGGCAGATATTTAAGTATTTAACAAAATAATAAACATAAATAAAGAAAAAAAATCGTGTGAGTATTTGCAATCTTATAGCAGTACAATTGTTAACTGTACACACAAGTGTATTGTATACATACCTCATCACCCTCAGAATTTTGTGTATGTCCAAGGATTCTAGCGACAATAATGGCGGATTCCTCGCTAGAGAGGATACCGCTTGCCATAGGACCCTCGATGAACTCTTTATCTGTCATAAGAGAATACCGAACGCTGTACCAAACTTCTTCGGACAGCGCGTTCCTTCTGTTGCTGGCCGATGGTTCGACTCCATGTCTTCTACATTCAGACGCAGCCCACCTGTCTAACGCGTAGAACAAAATGGACTCGTTGGTTAACGTCAATGTGTCTCGGCACGCTAATTCTTCCACCTCAGCGGCATGCAGTTCTTCGAACTGTTCCTGATTAAAGACGGCCTCCGGATTTGAATCGATCACATGCAGACAGCATAGGAGGAGTCGTGTACAGACCGCGGCTGAAATTAAGGGATTTTAATTAATTCATTAATTAATTAACGTGTACCAGCACGCAGGCGCTAAGGCCGAAGCCATGGCGACAGAACTTAGCATGGAGGGGACTCTGACTCATTACCATTTTGCTCCCCTACAGCCCTGACCATGGCAATATAGTTAGAGTCCACTGTATTTGTATTTTGCTTTGAATAAGTGTTTTTTTTTAACTCTGTTTAACCAACATACAATCATTACTTTGATTTGAGTAAGTGGTTTTCTTTTACTATCTCTAACCAACACACAATCAGCATTTTGCTTTGAAAGTAAAACTAAACACAATTTACACACAGAACATAACCCTATATTTCCATTATAATTACTTATAGCATATTTAATCTTTCATTTATTAATAGGAACTAACTTGATCTAATTTCTATTGATGTAAGTGTAGAAATCGCAGGAAATTTATATATTTTATTTATTAAACACAAACTAACCTAACCTAACTTATCACCTTGCACAGAATGAAATCTAACCGTCATTTTAAACATTTGGGAAACGTTTCTTATACGCCTTTTAAAACAGAATCATAGGGTTTTTAAAGACTCTTTAACGTTCCCAAAATGTACAGAGAATGTTACCTTTACACATTCGGAGAACGTTCTGAGAATGTTCACACAGTACGTCCTCAGGATGTTCCAACTTGTAAATAGGACCTTCCTAGAAAATTTAAAGATCTTAACGAGAACGCGGCGGGAACATGTGGACCTTTTCGGAACATCCTTCAAATGTACCGAACGTTTGGAACATACTTTCACCGGACGTACATATGACGTTTTTGTGCTATTTAGTTTATGTATTCCGAATTCGTCTTTAGCAATTGATGACGACCAAACCCTGGAGTTTTTGGACAGGTAAAAACCATGTGCAGGAAAATTAAGGATTTTAGTTTCTGAATTTGGGGGGATGGGTAAAATAAGGGACACGTATTTTTGTATTTGCTGAGATGCAACTGTAAGGAGTGAAACCATCCCTTAAAGTTTCGTTCTGGAAGTATTATCTCGAAAACCAGAAGAGATATATGAAAACTTCTAATGGGCGAGTTTCATGGACTCTTATGTACAATAATATGGCGCTAACAAATTTTCTAAAATACAATTTGTTTATAACAAAAACAATTTTCATAACTTCATTTTACAACTTATTAAAAATAAACATAATGACAAAAAGTGATGAGCGTTTAATTCCAAATTCATTATTATATGCATTTATAAAACTACCTCTTACAGTTTCGTAGATTTTTATTATTTGTATGCCGTGCGCACGCTCGCTAATATTACATTATTAGCCGACATTAATTATACACGCGAGTGAAAAACAACTATTGTTGCGGTCAGCCAACCAACAGTTGCCTAATGTAAACGCCACTTTATTGGTTCAAAATGAACAGATTAAAAAAAAATGGATTAAGTGTTACAATACCTATTTCGCCAGCATCGTCGCCAGGTGCTGGGGGTGCTGTGGGCGAATTGGTTGATCTAGAGAGGCCAGAAGTTATGTGACTCGCGTAAAGGCTAAGACCTTGATAGATCTCGAGGACGGTGTTCGAGTTCAGATTCCTTTCGAGGTAGTCAACGGCAAGACGAGCTAATTCTGGACACAGGTATTGATGTGCTGCGTCAAGGGTGGCTCGAGCTGATGACACGGATTGGAAGTTTATTGGCTCGTCGAGAAGATATCTGCGCAGAAAACCGACAGTCTTCGATTTTACGCAAGAGATGACAGCTGCCTGACGACTTCAATTTTTAACCACACTTTTTCTCGTACAATCATTTCATCCCCCTAAAAAATGTCACAAACTCCACCCATTCATGCATTAAAAATTGTAATTAAATTTCTTACGTCATTAAATAACAACAAAATTTGTATATTCTTCTTTGCGTGTATCCGAATTGAATTGATATTTGCGTATTTTTACGAAACTTCGTAGGTGAAATTTATATCGTCTCGTTACGATTCTGTATTATTTAAGAAACAATCCTCTCTAATTCGCATCTGCGGCATTTCTTCCTGGCAGATTGAGATCCCGTCAATTTTCGTTTACAAGAGATAATGAACGGGAATGTGATCAGAAAAATAATCCAGAAATATGCGATTGTACCAGCTACTACAAGCGTGCACAAACACATGCCCGTCATGGTGTCGATATTCTTCCTGATTTTTAATGCGCTGTAGAGCATACAATTTACATAGAAACAATTTGAATAATTGGTAACTTTGTTAAATGGTAAAAAAAAATATTTTCTTCCTTAAAAACTGACAGATTTTTAATACATATGAACGCGTTGAAAATGTAAGATTTAAATTATAAGTAATTTTCAACAAACTGTATCTGTATGTGGTATTATTTCCAATGCAGCTTTGACAATGACTATGAAAATGTTCAAGTAATGTATTGTGTATTTTTAACATTATAATGATCCTATACTAAATGAACTTGGTGTTAATTACACGGAAGAGAACTGAACAAATGTGAATTAGATAAATATAAATAATAAGAAATTTAATCTGTTTCCATTTTTTATGTTAATGTACCAGTTTTTGTTCAGGGAAACATGTAGAAGCTTTTTTTTTTATATTATGCGTATTTTTAGATAAAAAGATGAAACAGAGAAAAATAGAAACGCAAAATTTTAACGAAGTCAGAAGGTTCTTCTTTTCTTTTGAATATAAAAATTATTTAATCAGAGTAGTATTTATATGATTTAATTCTCAGAGATTTTGTATCATTTTGAAAAATATATTATAATCTTACCATCCACCATACACGCATTACTTCATTCATTTCTCGCCATTTTAGGGACCGTTTTTGTACAATGGGGTACTAATCTGCGACGTTAATTTTGATTGTTTGGGACGACCTTCATCTCCACTTTTCTCGTTTCGACAGCTGCCTCGAAAGGATTGAACGTGCAGTAGGACTTTTTTTTATCTGTTATTAATTAAAGCTACTATTGTATGTATTAATAATTAACAAATAAAATTAAATTACAGACATAATCATGAATATGCAATATAAGAATATTATTAGTTGGAATGAATTAATCTTTATTAATTATTCTACATACAGACAAATAACAATTACTTATACGTAATGAAGAATTAAGCAATAATTCCTTTAGTATTCCCACGATTGCAGTGTACAACAATCAAAATGAAAATTTCAACCTATAATTCGGTAATAATGCTATGAATTATTATTTATCAACAAAAGTCTATTTATACTTGTTATATGATCATACGTAGAATACAGTCTATTTCCTGTAATAGAAAATAATTCTATCTGAAAGCAGCCAAAATATCTTATAAATCGGACCTTCCTTGCGCTTCAACCTATTAAAATCGACTCTTTCAAGAGTGTTCTGCAATGCGCGTTGATCACGTATGCCCTGCTTGACCATAACGCACGTGGCAGATGTCTCTTCAGAGTTCAGAGGATCGATTTTAACGGATCTACGCACCGCACAAGGAGTTATACGGGATTTTGGCTGTGCGTGTTCGTGCTCCTTGTTACACGTATCTGGACCTGCCTTTAAATAGAATTATTTTTTATTATAGAAAATAATTGTACAACAGAATATATTTTATTTTTCTAGGAACTTGCTATTTTTAGAAATGCAAGTACCACCAATACAATTCAACACATTTAACAAAATCTTATGTATTTTTTACATAACTTCTGGCTTGCTACATAGATTTTCAGACACACCCTATACAAATATACTAGAGAAAGTTTCTTGAAAAATTAATGAATTAATACTAAACCTACCAGCATTGAATGCATACTAAATTAAATTGTATAATAGAATAATATACAGAATATACGTATAAGACAATCTAGCATAATATACCATAAAATCCAATCTGCAGTAAATTGAAAGTCAACATAAATTTCACCAAAAGCATTATTATAATGCCAATAATGGTAAAATAGTAAATCTGTAATCCGTCATTTTGACGGATTTGATGGTTCTAGTGTTAAGACATGATAAACGTACATGAAAGACATTGAAAAGAATAACACGGATCATGCTTAGTATTATTAGACTGCGAATGTTTATGTAAATATAGATGTTTGTGAGTTAATTTACTGAATATGGTATTAAATGGATTACACCATGAAAGGTTTTATCCTGTTACAAATGAAATATTAGCATTTTGTTGTACGAAGTATTTATTCAACCCATATGACAAAATATACAGTTTTATTAGAGAAAAAACTTGTTTATGGTTAAATTACCTTTGCTACGATTCCTTTTTGAATTCAAATAAAATTAGGATTATCATTGATCTGTAAATTCTCTACATTTATAGCGCGCGTGTGCACATGTAGGACACAAACTAAAAGATGAAAATGTTAACAAAATTTTGCATGAAAATGCGAATTTCCATAAACATTCGTGCTATAGGTGCCACCAATATGAATTAAGGAACCGGGCCTGTGTATAGTCAAATTTAGAATATACGTATCAGTTTTACTGTAGCGTACGAAACATTATTCGAGGACACATTTAAAAGCAATTCGATTCTGCGTTTTTATAAACACGTGGTTGCGTGGCATCGATGTGATAACAAGATCAAACGTGGTAGTTCACGATTTACCTGAACAGATAATCGAAGGCACGCTTTTCTACGTGTTGGAGTTGAAGCAGAGGTGGAGGATCGCTCGGTGCAGGTGCGAGAGGACCGACGAGCATCGCACGAAACCACTCCGACCTTTCGGCAAGTTGTTCCCTTTCTACGCAGTACCTCCATGTGTCACCAGGTAGACCGGCCTATATTTATCCACAAGTTACAGATATATACCTTTTCACATTTATGTTTCAGAATCTTTACAGTTTCATATAGATTTCATAAGTACACGGAACAACAGTAGGTAAAAAAAAGTTTCTGTATACTATACTTTCAATATTTTAATCCTTTACAATACGATTGGAATGAATATTAATAAAGCGTTCAAACATATAATATGTAGGTGTGCTATGTATACTACAAGATAAGGTTACACTATATTTGGTTTTAATCTGACATGTAGTTTGTTGATAAATTTATTTCAATATTAAACACAGCGAAATTATGATCGAATAAGTCTCCATACACTATTTAAGAATCTCGTAGAATGATTATAAAGAAGGTTTAAGGGGGTCTCTAGCTTGTAAAAGGGTAGAAAAGTCATTACACGAAATTATTTTTCAAAAATGAAAATACTAATTCTAAAACTGGAAGAAGAAGGTTAATCGCTTAGAAAAATTGCTCAAACGGTGACAGAACCCTCTCTCTCTCTCTTCGGTGCAGTGTATTCTTAAGGGGTCTTCTGTGGTTAGAAATTAAAAAAAATTAGTGAGCTTCAAATTAACTTTTTGGAGGTGACCAATGCAGCAGAAGGTCTACTCTATTGACATGGAATAGATGACCTCGTCTAAGTTTTAAAACGTGTTGTTTTACATGTAAATTGAATTTTAAATCTTTAAGTGCGCTTTTTTAAGAACAACATTTTCAAAGTCGGCGAACACGATTAATTGAAAACTGCTGAACAGATCCGTTCTAAATTTTGGGAGCTTATTTAGGTGCAAAAATCTAGTCTCTAATCAAAGGATTTCAGTTTTTAATGCTTAGTTTTTATTTTATGGTCGAAAAATAAGGATTTATTGAAACGAAAATCGGTCGCTTAACTTTCAACATCCGCGATTTTGTTCTAAATGATTTTTTTTTTAATACTTTTATTGGAATTGGAACTATTCTGCGGGGTGCCGCGAAAAAATGTCAAAAGTTGAAATTAAGAGCCACCCTACTGTGCACGTTTAGCGCTTCCGTTAAAGCCCGTCTACATCTACGATTGGGTCTAGCCAGGGTAAGCATTGGAAAACGGCCCCAGCACCAATTTTAGTATCTATCTTTACCAAATAATGCTCTTTGTCTAAAAAACAACTGTGAGTTATTTCAAATCTCTATTCCCTCTTGTAAGGGTGATATGGGGATAACAACCCTAAACTTTACCATTTTTTTTCTCAACAGCTAGTTAAGATATTTGAATGCTTCAAACTGCACATAGTAGGTAATTTTTAGCTCTGTGGATTGACCCGTACATTTTCATGTACGGACCAATCCACGCCAAGTGGATCAGTTCTGTACACGACGATTGGGATTTTGCTCAAATTAATTAAGGTGTTATGGCGAACAGTCTGTAAGAAAACAGAAAAAAGAATAACGGATACAGATGTATTTATTAATTTTTCAATTGACACCCATAAAATACGTTACATTTTAGGCTTTATAGGTGCACATGCCTTGTACGAACATGCATGAAAACAACGACAGAATCTTCGGATGATTCGGAAGAAGACATAAAATAAGATGCAATAATTACAATATGTACATTATGAATTCTTTAAGATAATTATATTAAGGGCAGGTGTATAAAGACCGTAGTTAAATTAGAGACAATAAAATAGTATATATCGAGCACGTTGGTCGTTTCTTTTGTTTTTCGTACCTCGAGCATCACCATATTGCAGGTAGTAGGTTCCGTGGCGTGCAGTCGTGTTTCATCAGTGGTTATGAATGGTACTTGAGACATGTCCTCCTGTGCACTCCGAAATATCGTAATTATCTTTGAAGAGTGTTGCGTGATTACGGGAACGATTATCGTTCTAGAGTAAATGCAATTTCGTACACCCTCCTGAATCTTCCGCCGCAACTGGTCAGAATCAGCGCGAACGCATCGCAAGCTGTCGTCTGTAACAGAACATAAAATGATTTCGATATTTTCGCGATCGTTTCTCCATATCCAGATATTACAATTTCCCTGGCTTCCTTCACTCGTATCTGCTACGAATAACAACTTTTCTAACAACTAGGTATGGGTAAATATTTACAAAAAGGGACCCAACTTCGATGACCTTGACCTTGACATATGTTGTCAAGGTCAACATTCTGAACAACTTTTCCATATACAGGTACCCGTCGCTCGAGTTTAGTTGTTTAGTCGCAAAAAATTTTTGTGCAACTGAGGTTACAAGTATACTTCATGAATTTAAAATATTCGATTTTCATGAATTAGATTGTCAAGGAAGAAGAGTATTTGGGGTCGGTTGGGGCAGTTACCTTTGGCGGTAGGGTCACAGCCGCGATGACCCTCGCGTTGCCCGCGGGGCAACGGGGCCGAGGGGGTGGTACTGGGGGCACCACCTCCTTTCGCGGGCGGCCCACGAGAAGACAGCGTCGAGAGGTGACTCCTCGGCGCTGTAGGTAGGAGGTGGAAGGACGGCTGTGATCCCGGGGGGGGGGGGAACTATCGCCCCCCCTCCAGAGAAGAGCCCTTCCCTTAAACACTTATAGGGGAGGGCAATGGGCGAAGCTGGCCGCGGTCATACCGAGCGTTCCCGTTGCCAGCCCTACGCCCGAGGGTCACCGGTATAAAAAAAAGGTACCTTTGGCGGGCAGGGGGTTTGTATACTAATATAATCAATTTTTACACTAATATAATCAGGAAACTTTCATCTATGTATCCAATCGCAGCACGTAGCCAACGTTACCGCGAGAACACGGCCGGCAGACTCGGCCTCTGATTGGTCGGGGTTTTTCGTTAATATCTCGTTAACAAAGCTCCGGATAACATTTTTGCTACGGAAAAACTTGTTTCAAATTACCTGACTTGAATCAAGAGCCAAATTCGTACAATAAAAATATTTTTAAAAATATTGCATTGAAAAAATAACTTTATGATTAAAACAAAACATTGCATAAAAAGGATGGTTCTGTACGATTAAAGGGAAAGAAAAATGTAGTTTGTATCTTTAATATGATAGTTGTGGAAATAAAAATTCCTTCATGATGATAGTTTTGGTAAAACTTAATTACGAATCGAAATGCAGATTCATTAATACACGTATATTCAAATATATGTGAAATGGTACAGGTGTACTTAAATACACCTGAGATAGTACACGTGTACCCGTGTACATAAAATGACATACTGACGTATGGTACGTAAAATACACGTGTGCTTTTAATACACGTTCAGAATTACGACGTCTAGAGATACCTATTGACTTTGATTCACTCTATGAATAACAACGACCGCGCTGCTCTGTTCTAAACAACTTAGTCACCCTTATTTTGCCCGAAGTCCGAACTTCTACTTACTCATCCAGTAGTTGCAAGACAATTACAATTACAATTACATCATAATTAATTATAAGACATTTATAATAAAAATTATAATGTAATTGTAAAATTACAATATAATCGGAGAGTTAATGCTGCCGCGAATTAATAACACAGCTTGTTCAAATAAGTTCAGACCTCCAGTAGGATGGTCCTCTCTTACAAGATCAACAAGAAACACGGAGAGCAAAGTGCTATCACCTGTGAAGAATAGCTGATACAAAAACGAATGGGAGACGAACATATTATTCCACTATGAAATAAATTCAATTGGATTTTTAATTATATCGAAATTCTTAGTTAATTTTCATTAAAAAATAAAACAAATATTAATCGACGATTAATATTTTTCAATCAGCGATTGACGATTAACTTCTTCAATTGTCTGAATTAATTGCAAATTATTTGACGATTAATTTTTTAATCGTAAGCATTAATCAATCAATCAAATTAAAAGTTTTCAATGATTGATCCACAACGCTGTAAAAGACACTTAGAAACCGGGTGTCCCAGCTCATCCAGGACGGTTGGCAACCTTACTTATAATATACCTTATGCACTACCCTATTTCTTCCTTCATATAGATACTTCAAATAGATTTGGAAAGATTATATTTTTCTATACGTAAAAATATAATATTAATAATAATACTCCTATTATACAATAAAATAATATTAACAACATCGTTTCTATCATGATTGTCTACCATATTATAGGGATTTAACCCGTATGGATTTTGAGAGCTTCAAAACATTCGGGAAAATGTGATTTGGTTTGGAACCTTTGTGAGTCGAATGAAGATGTCGAAAGACTGATTTGTGTCGTAGCCATATTTACAGGAGAAACGGTAACACTTTGTGCGTTTTTAATGTATCTTTGATGAATCACTTCTCCAAACGATAGTCTCGCAATAAAGGACGGGGATCAATGAGTTCGATTTTTATTTTTACACATTTTTATCGAGGTGTGTGATTACATTCCGTCGTGCAAACACCAAAAGAACTGCAATATCTACATCATACAAAGGTTTGGCAATGTTTGCTACGGATAATATCTTTCAACAGATATCGGTCTGTTTTTCGATAACGCTGACAGTTAAGAGAAGTCTATTGCTATTTCTATGAATATTTTCGATCAATCAATTATTTAGAATCATTAATCGCGAAACATCGGATGCCTATACATTCACTGCAGTTCCGAATATACAAACTCAGTAAAATAGAAGACATATTGCTTGATACGACTACGTATACATTTCAGAATAACTTTATCAATATTTGCAGAACCCTGTTCGCAATACATTTTTATTTGTAATTTCTAATCCTATTCGTGTTTGTCTCTTTTCGTCATTTTTCTTGCAGGTCAGTCCACGCCAAGCGGATCACTTTTGTACTCGATTGTAATGATCAAATGAGATGAAAAATCATTTTACTCAAATTGACGTATGTATGTTATAGTCCGTGTGAAAATTGGAGGGGAGTTAGCGAGGGAGGGAGGGGGTGTTTAAGTCACCATTTCACTGATTTCGAAATTGTCTAAATGATACAGACCCTTGAATTTGGCAATTTTCACGGATTTTTACGAAAACTATCATCATGAAGGAATTTTTATTTCCACAACTATTATATTAAAGATACGAACTAGATTTTTCTTTCCTTTTAATCGTACAGGATCATCCTTTTTATGTGATGTTTTGTTTTAAACGTAAAGTTATTCTTTCAACGCAGGATTTTTAAAAATATTTTTATTTTGCGAATTTGGCTCCTGATTCAAGTCTGAAAAAATTTGAAACAAATGTGTCTATTTTGCGACCTTTCTTTTTTAAAATTTATTGATCTGGTTCGCGGAAGTTCAAAAATTGTGGTCGTAGCAGGGCCTGCTAAGCAGGTTGACAAATCTTGCGGCGTACGGCGATTCAGGTAAGCGCGCAGCTGAAGAAACTGCTCATTTTAATGTAAAAATTGTAGTCGTAGAGCTTCTGATGGAAATAAGTTAACGAAGTGAATCTTTTTTGAGGTTAAAGCTAAGATGTTACAGAATTAGGAAACTGTAGAATAAGTATCGTAAATAAGTTTTGAACTTCGAGATTAATGTCAAATTTGAGGTTTTCGAAAATAATTGCAGTCTTTCCGTTTTTTTGCTTAGCTCGTTATACATCATTTCGTATAGATTTTGACATTCTAAATTCAAATCTAGCCAGAATTTGTCTAGTCCCTCAAGAGTATGAGAAATATGCGACTCAATTGCAAAAAAGATCAATAAAAATCGTGAATTTTCTGGTTTACATGCTTTAATAACACTTTAGTTTAAATTTAGTTTTTTATTAAAGCATGTATAACCAACCCCTTTATGGAATGCAGTTTTCAAGAACCTCAGTTTACGTGAACATTAAAATTTACAGAGGTCTACAAAGTAGAAAATTTTTCGTATGTATACAGATAGATTATGAGTAGCATGTCACAGTGAAGGTCAACATGTCTTCACAGAATTACGTGAGATTATTTTTGTCGTGGAATATGTTATTTTGGAACCAGAAATCGTCCTTGACCTCATAATAGTAATGCAGTAATAAATGTGTAAGTACAAAAAAGCAGTGATATTTTTGTATACTACATACTTGCAGCAGATTAAATATGAGTAACTATTATATTCATACATCGAAAGAAACGGAGTAAAAAAAATTAGTGTTTTGTAGAAAATATTTCATTATGTATATTTTTGAAGCGATGATGATAATAATCACTGCTGAAAATAATTATGTGTATACAGAGAGTTAATGTTTTTTCCGAGTAAACTTTTATGTGTAAATGAACACCTAGAAATATTTATAGAATATTTATAAACTATTAAAATATATAAGGCACGGATTAGAAAGGAATCAAGTAAATACTTGCTATTCAAAAGTAATAACATTTTTTCTAAATATACAAGACATGTAAACTTTTAAAGAGTTTGAAGTATGTAATAGGGTCATTCAACGCGAAATCGAACACTTTTTGGAGCACCATTTCGTATTTTGTTCAAATTTGGATATGTTGTAGTCTTTAGTGATATATAAGCGTATCTCGAAGGATTTTTGAAAATTTAAATAATTGTTGATTTTACAAGTGTTTGAAATTTACGGTCAACCTTTTTTTCAATAAATCATAACTATTGAACTAACAAACTGATGAAAATGAGCTTTGTGGGTACTTACAGTGGAGTCATAAGAGTACCAAATAAATATTATTTTAGTTAACAAAAATATTTTTTAACTATTTATTTTGAAATTCTTTTAAAGAAATGCAATGTTATAAAGCGCGGCACGGTTTAAAAATTTGAAAAAAAAATGATATATAGCCCTATTTGTCCTCTTTATGGAAAACTTTTCAAAAATATGGAAACTTTAAAATTGAGCCGATGTGCTTGGACGAGGTACTTAAACATTCATTTCATATTATCTTACCGTCATTGTAAGTAACTGTCATTTTGGCAATACGTGTCGCAAGCCTGTCCACTTCCGTACAACCTATGGCACACGTAATAAACAACTTCGGCTGCACTTGCACCAGATATACTTATACATTACA